AGCGGGGGGAGGACCGGGCAGCCGGTGAAGTACGGCCGCCGGCATCACACGGAGGAGGCGGAGGGGGTGCGGGGCCTCTTCACGCTGCACATCCTGGCGGCGGAGCGCACTGACACCGGCTTCTACACCTGCAAGGCTGTCAATGAGTACGGCACCAAGCAGTGCGAGGCCAAGCTGGAGGTCAGAGGTAAAGATCCCCGGGCGCATCCGCCCTGGCCCCCAGGGGCCAGCTGGCTCCGGTGCCCTGCATGAGCTGTGTGGGGAAGGGGCCGCTGCAGACCCCTCCTTGGCAGTGCTGCGGGAGAAGGGGATGAGCCAGCCTGCCCTTCTCTGCCGCAGCACAGGCGGGCGCAAGCCGGGAGCAGGAAAGTGGAGCTGCGTGCCTGGGGCTGCCGGCATAGGCTGGCCCTGCAGCAGAAGGCAGGCTGCCCTGCTGCCCTATCCAGATGTGTGGCCCCACGGCCCTGGGTCCCACCAGCCAGCTGTGCCAGGACCCCCGCTGGCCTGACCCAGAGCTCGCTGCTGCCCACAGCCCAGCTTCATCCCATGTCCCCCCATGTACCTGCTGCTGAGGCCGGGTGCTGCCCCTGGCTGCGCAGGGAAGGCTTTTGCCCTTGGTGGCCCTGCTGGGGACATGTCCCCCTGCCCTGCTGAGCTGACAGCTCCCTCCCTGCTGCAGGCAGTCTGCAAGCTGCCGTGCCAGGCCCAGAGCAGCTTGGAGAAGTTTCCCCCTGCCCATTTCCAGCGATAGCCCGTATGCATGGGACTGGGCTGTCCAGTCCTATTCCCTTAGCATCCCTCCCCAGCCTGGCTGTGGTCCTCCTAGGACCCCAATATATGTGTGCAAATTTGGGGTGGGGGGAGGTGGGTGGACTCGGGACTGATAGCCAGGCTCTGCCTGGTGTCCCCCGAGGCCAGGGAAGGAGCCTGCGGGGACGAGTGATGCTGCCTCCCTCCTCTTGCCCTTTGCTGTGTGTGCCCTGCTCCCCCCAAGCCCTCCCTGCTGACGGCTGCCTGAGCCCCCCAGGCTGCGTCCATCCCACCCCAGCCTTGGCTGCACTGCTTGTACCCTGCCGGGACCCCGCTCCCAG